TTTCATTATTATTTTAATTTAATATAGTTATATTTTATTTATTATTATTTAATAATAGAATTATTTTAAAAGCCCTCTACTGTGTCTCTGTATAATTTACTGTAATTGTAGTTTTACATTTTTAGTTGTTGTCTTCTATTTTTTTCTCATAAAAACTCACTTCATATTAACATTCAAATGTATTTCTGATACAGCCTCTGACAGCAACATGTTTACTTTCATTTTACTCCCATAACGTTTTTTCTTTATCTGTTTTAATTTTTTGTGCTACTATCATGAATGTTACTTAAGATTGTATATCTTTTTCTTGTTCTGAAAAATATATATAAATAAATAAATAAAAATAAAATAAATCTCCCTTTCGCAACAAAACACGGATGGTCGCAAAATGTCATGTAATCAACTGTAAGGACCGTTGAAGTCTCTCAAACCGTAGATATGTATACATATCTATGTCTCAATCACCAATAGCCTCAGGACGATATTGCATACTTTTCATATCGATATAACATATTTCATTTTAGCAAACTAATATTTGTTAATATTATAATGTAATACATGTATACATGACTGATAAATGAAATCTGCAGCAATCACGCGAGTAATTTTACGGCAGTGTTACGTCAGTGGCGTCCTTTCACTTTACGGCAAGACAGCATGTGGAGGTCAGAGATACGGAATCGCTCGGTCAGAGCCTGAAAACGGTCTAATTATCAAATATCAACACTTGACAACTCGGCGCAGTGACATCTGTGTAGGATTTTCAACAGACGGTATACAACACAACGTCGTTAACGTCCATCATTTTGACGCGGGTCGGTAAAGAAGAAGTCTGATCATCGAGTCTGTTTTCTCTGTATCATCTCTGAAGACATGGATAATAACACACCGGCATCAGGAGGATTTAAAGGGGGACTCGGGAGCCTTTTCGGTGGAGGAACCCCTGAGTATTCAAATACTGAGCTCGCAGGAGTACCATGTAAGTGCTACAGTGTGAGGCTAATGTTTACTTGCTGTAACAGTCTGATTCACATTATGTTCTGATTAGTTACTTTGAGTATCTATTAATTTTTGATCATGTATAATGAGAAGATATCTTTCATTTTCAGTGACTGGTATGAGCCCTCTCTCACCCTACCTCAATGTTGACCCTCGTTACCTTTTACAGGTGAGTTTCTGTAAGTCCGTAGCTACATTTCAGACCTATTTAAAGGTTTCCGTGGTAGAAATGAACTGACAAAGTCAAACACATGTTACAGGCTTAATGGACTGAAACAAGGGGTAAGCTGTCACAATATGAACTTGCTGTAGGCTAATTAATGGCAAAAAAATAAATGTTAAATTAATTATGAAACCCCAAACAATTCATTAAACAGCAATGGTAACATGCAAATATATATATATATATATATATATATATATATCAGAACATTGTTTTGGCCACCAACTGTAATTAATAAATTGCACATTTTTATAATACCTGACTTTTTTTCTAAAATATCAGTTTTCCTGAGAATATATTTTTAACTTTTTATTAAAATCTGCCTTTATTAGTTGACCCATGCCCTAATGTATGCTAGTGTGATTTTATTGTGTTCACTTGTTTATACAAGCTATTACAAAAAATGATGATATTGGAATTATAGTAATACAAAAATCCTTTATATTTAAGATACCGTTTTGTTGCTTGTCTTGCTCTTTTAGGACACAGATGAGTTTATCTTGCCAACCGGGGCAAATAAAACCCGTGGTCGCTTTGAGCTGGCCTTCTTCACCATCGGGGGATGCTGTATAACAGGTGAGGCCTGCCACTTTGCAGTCTTTGATCAATCCTTTGTCTTTAATCATCACCCGTTTTAACTGTTGTATGTTTCTTTAAAGGCACTGCTTTTGGGACACTTAATGGTCTCCGTATGGGCCTGACAGAAACTAGAGGCATGCCGTGGTCAAAACCCAGAAACGTACAGTAAGTGTCTGCTCCTTTGTAAACTTTGATTAGAAATGATTTGAGTTACGAGTTAGTTTCGAATATCAGTCGCTGGTATAATGTTGATGTGATGCAGCTTATTTCTAACAAGTTTGCTGCAATGCAGAGAACACTTATTTTTAGTGACACACCAAAATTTCAGCAACTAAAAATATTCATCCGAAATCATTGACCGGGCACTTTTTGTTAATTAGTGCTTCTGCAACGATACGTTTTGACTGTGTCAGCATCTGCTTTTCACACACATTGTGGATAAGCTACAACAGGTCAACTTCACCATGACCAAAAATGATGCTAGAGTATTGATAAGTACAAGTTGTTTGTCTAAAGAGGCAGCACCTTGCTGAAAAACTTTATTACGACTGGTTTATCACCTGTGAACACAACACCCTGAAGAGCATTTTGAATTTTAATTGTATTACTGCATCTTTTTTTGGTTGTTGGTTAAATTAAAACGCTTGGTGTTTCCATAACTTTTTTTTGGTGCATCACTACAATTTATAAGTTATATTGACTGTAATACTGACTTTTATTATGTTCTGTCAGAATTTTGAACATGGTCACAAGACATGGCGCGTCATGGGCGAACACACTAGGATCTGTGGGTAAGAAATGCCTTGAATTCAAACAGCTTGTGTAAAAGAATATCACAAACTGCTTTGTAATTAACTGAAGAGACTCGTGCATAATAAAATGTTGGTTCTCTCTTTCTCAACAGCTCTTTTGTATAGTGTGTTTGGTGTGGCTATTGAGAAGGCCAGGGGCGCAGAGGATGATCTCAACACAGTGGCAGCTGGAACTTTAACAGGGATGCTTTTTAAATCCACAGGTGAGGAAAAGTGACATTGACTTAAGTGATTCATATCATGGCTATCACTGATTTAATCTAATGAACATAATGTTTATTGTATTTATTTATATAAATTTATATTTATTTTGTTCAGCTGGACTCAAAGGAGCTACCAGAGGAGGTCTCATTGGTTTAGCCATGTCAGGGCTGTATGCTCTTTACAACAACTGGGATCACCTGAAGGGGACATCGCCTTCACATTACTGAGGATGACTGAGAGCTGAAACCATGGACTTATTTTGACTCTGAGCCCATTCTTAGTTTTTATGACCCCCTTTTGGAATTGCATCCATTTCTTCTTTATGAAACCCATGGACCATCACACGTGTACAGACTTCTTAAGAGTTACATTAAATGTAATATTTAAATGGAAGAGCCAGACTACCTTCAGGTGTGTTCGCTGGTAACATCTCAGTCATTCATGTACATGTCTTTGTTGGTGTAAGTTACAGGAGCTCTGTATCCTTTAATCATGAGTTTTTTCCTGATCTCATTGTGGATTGATGCATTTTGTCAGTGCTGACTAAACTGGCTACATCCTCTCTGAAACCATCAATGATAAAATACAAGTTTCCACTGTTTGAGACTCTTCATTTGCTTTGTGTAGGGATATAAAAATAATTGAGTTGTGTAATATAAAATTTGTGTTTGCTGGGCATGAATGGTCAGTCTTTCGTACTGGGAGTTAGATCAGTGGTTCCCAACCCTGGTCCTGGAGGCACCCCAACACTGCACATTTTGCATGCCTCCTTTCTCCGACGCACCAATTTCAGGTCTTGAAGTCTCTACTAATGAGCTGATGACCTGAATCAGGTGTGTTTGATTAAGGAGACATGCAAAACGTGCAGTGTTGGGGTGCCTCCAGGACCAGGGTTGGGAACCACTGAGTTAGAAGATTAAGCACTACACCATCCTGTATTCACGTAGCTCTAAATAAAATATAAAAAAAAAAATGGAAAATTACTTTAATAAAATAAATTAACCATGTTCAGATTCCAAGACACTTAAAAAAGTTTGCAAATATAGTTTTTATAAATAATTTATTTGTAAGCAGATCAACCTTGATTTCAACAGTCAATGAGTACAGATGAATGATAATTATAATATTCCAGAATGAATGTCCATGGAACGTTACGATATGCACACATGGTCATGTTTTTCCACTGTTTGAGACTCTTCATTTGCTTTGTGTAGGGATATAAAAATAATTGAGTTGTGTAATATAAAATTTGTGTTTGCTGGGCATGAATGGTCAGTCTTTCGTACTGGGAGTTAGATCAGTGGTTCCCAACCCTGGTCCTGGAGGCACCCCAACACCGCACGTTTTGCATGTCTCCTTAATCAAACACACCTGATTCAGGTCATCAGCTCATTAGTAGAGACTTCAAGACCTGAAATTGGTGCGTCAGAGAAAGGAGGCATGCAAAATGTGCAGTGTTGGGGTGCCTCCAAGACCAGGGTTGGGAACCACTGAGTTAGAAGATTAAGCACTACACCATCCTGTATTCACGTAGCTCTAAATAAAATATTTTTTTTTTAAAAATGGAAAATTACTTTAATAAAATAAATTAACCATGTTCAGATTCCAAGACACTTAAAAAAGTTTGCAAATAAAGTTTTTATAAATAATTTATTTGTAAGCAGATCAACCTTGGTTTCAACAGTCAATGAGTACAGATGAATGATAATTATAATATTCCAGAATGAATGTCCATGGAATGTTACGATATGCACACATGGTCATGTTTTCATGGTCATGAAAATTCCTTTTAGTGATATATCTCAACCAGAATAATCATTGGTTACTCATCCTATTATTTGAGCAGTATTATACCACTAACTCAAACTCTCCATGTAGTTTGAATAATTGTAGATTAAATGATACAATAATTAAAACTCCCTATCAAAATACTGATCATACAGATTAAAATGAAGGAATTTATAGAAATTATATGGATAAATTCCTTAGAGCGGCTTAAAGTGTAAAATATAAAGGATAAATTGCCATCCTGTGTGGAAAATATCTTCACTGTTCAGTAGGGATGTAACGATTCACTCAACTCCTGATTCGATTCAAGATTTTGATTTCACGGGAATGTTACGATATGCACACATGGTCATGTTTTCATGGTCATGAAAATTCCTTTTAGTGATATATCTCAACCAGAATAATCATTGGTTACTCATCCTATTATTTGAGCAGTATTATACCACTAACTCAAACTCTCCATGTAGTTTGAATAATTGTGAGCCATAGATTAAATGATACAATAATTAAAACTCCCTATCAAAATACTGATCATACAGATTAAAATGAAGGAATTTATAGAAATTATATGGATAAATTCCTTAGAGCGGCTTAAAGTGTAAAATATAAAGGATAAATTGCCATCCTGTGTGGAAAATATCTGCACTGTTCAGTAGGGATGTAACGATTCACTCAACTCCTGATTCGATTCAAGATTTTGATTTCACAATTCGATTCGATTCACGTTTTTGATAACAAAATGAGATTTAAGACAAATTATAAATTAAATGTGTCCTTTTATTATTGCTTGGACAAAATTCTGCACGTTTCTTTGTGAAATTGAATAATATACTAATATAGTACTTGCATATTATTGCTCTTTTGTTGGTTTTGTCCTCATTTGTAAGTCACTTTGGATAAAAGCATCTGCTAAATAACAACATTTAAATATAATGTAAATGTAAATAACAAAACTAAATTGAAATTTTAAAACAAGCCCCAAATCAAATAAATAACACAAATAAAAGAAATCTCGTCATATAAACAAACTAAGGCTTTGTCTGTTCTTTTTCCATTTAAAATTAGAGGCAACCACTGCATTTTAATCATGATCAAAACAAAGATGCTGCATACATGCAACATGAGCAGTTTTAATCTAAATTACATTGTATAATTTCGAAATTTGAAGCAAAAACAGAATGATTTGACAGTTTTGTGAAACTATGCATAAAAAATATCTGCATGAAACCGAAACAGCAGACGAGCTGAATGAGATGCAGATTCACCCTCTGCCAGCAGGTGGCGCTTAAAGCATTTCCTTGGTTTCCGCTGTAAACAAAGCAGCGCTGCACTTATG